TAATTTCGTCAATTAATTAATGACAAGAAATTGTTTTGTGATATACAAATTGTTAAATCTGCATATACTATGAGCAAATCGTTTACCTCTATCAAATTACACGCGTAACAGATATACAATATTTTAACAAGCTTGCATATAATTCATAAATATATTTTATATATATCTTTAAACTCTAGAGAGCGATATAGTCGTTTTAAATAGCGTCATTGAGGTTTATAAAAAAAAATGTTATTTGAGATACATGCTCGAATTAATTTCAAAAGTTCGAAGATTTAACTTCTTTACATGTTGTCTATTAATGTATCAAATATTTAATAGTTCCTATTGTTAATTTCATTCACGATACTAGAAATGCAGGAATTGATTTTAGTGACGTCTTATTTATACAAATATACTCATTGACAAATAAGTTTCATAAATAAAAATTGATATGTTTTAGTACATTTTCGTCAAGAAACAAAGCTATTAAAAATTTCGAAATTTTCGGATGAATCTCATGGGTTACCCCAAAAAAAATATTCTGCCATTTAGCGGTTCCGTGCTAATGTTACAAGATTTTCCATTTATATATGACCTCAAGAGGATATTCTACAAAGTAAAGGAATTTGGTATAACCATAAAGTACTAGATTTATGATTGCAATCCTCTCAATACTATTGTAGAAGAAGAATGTCTTACATGTACTGACATGCAGGCGTACTACGTAGCACGTAAATGACAAACTTCTTCTAACAAATAAACGTGCCGCTGGTATTTTGTATATCCTCTTATTTCAAAAGGCTATTTAAGTTATAATTAGAATTTTTTATAGAGGAATTTATTTTTTATCATAACTCATGTGTCATTTTTATAGAATACGTGTTATAAATACATGCATCTAATTAATGTAAGATTAATGTAAGATTTTTTTGCTTAGAGGAAATGTTAAGAGGAATTTCCCGCTTATCGGCAGAATATTTTTTTTGGGTGATATATCTTAAATTGTAAATATATATATATTTGGATCGCAAAAAGTATGGGAGATACAAATTTTGTAATAAAACAATTGACAAAACTTCTAACTAGCACTAGAAGTTTCTTATATTTATTTTGAAATGCCTTCATAATATAAATTCCCATATTTTAATTTTTAAATTATTTGCGAATATTTACATTGGAGATTAATGCGTTTTATTATTATTGTTATATATTGACTTATTATTAAATTTTCCTGTTGGTCACACCCAGTCGATCTTTTTATATCATTTTTATCCATTCATCATTCCAAAATTTTATAAATTATTCGTAATACAAATAGAAATTAAAATGACTAGAACAAATTAAATTTTTCAAATAAATAACTATATATATATATACACAAAATATTGAAATAAGTTGAAGTTGTCAAGATTAATTATAAGAGAAATGTTTAGGTATAATCTTACTTATAAAAAGTTACATATTAATGAATAATTATTTCAGGTACATATAGTTAAAAAATCGTATATAAATTATTTATTAGCCCCAACATAAGTCGAACTATACAAAACTTAAAATAATAGTCGAAGAATAAAAATATTTGTCCTAATAAACATAATATACATATTAATATTAAGTCGAACATTCATTGCATTATCACTGATTCTATCCGTAATCACAATTTTATTTAAAAAAAAATGAGTTTTTGTTTTAAACAAGATCTGCGCGTCTTTCATTCTTAGTCCAACTTATTCATATATAATAAATTATAAATCTCATAATGATACAATTTTAATTCGTGTTCCTACGTAGTAATCAGATTCAAAATGCTACAGGCATGTAAAGCCTTACACTTCATGTTTAATAAGATTCATTATGCTGCTTCTTATCGACGTACGTCATATTGCTCAATATAAATATGTGTAAATCCTTAAAAGCCAATTGACGGGTTCTACACTAGCACCTAAACCAAACCGTATTTACAAAAATACGGTTATTCCTTTTAAATATCATCGAACAGTCCTCTGGGTGGAGGACCTACGCGACTTGTACTCGTAGAAAATGCCCTCGTGTTACTCGGCTCGAATGAATCAATATCACCTTGATTTTCCATGTCGCACCGATTTGCACCATAACTATCTCCACCAAATGTCATACCGATGTAATATTCCGTGGGATCGAAATCGTGTAACAGACCCGCCCTCGCGGATTCGACTGATTCGTCTCGTTTTAACGGCCGTACTGAAGAATTGTCAACGTAAGTTACTTATATAATCCATATACGGTATTATTTATTTTTCACCGTACATACCAGTGTCTGTACTTTGTCGAGATGTCCTATAACGCGTACCCACCGAAATATTAAATCTTTCCTGCATTTCACGTCGTCTATACATAGAATCTTCCGCTCTTTGCCGTTTACGTCTCTCTACAACAAGAAAAAATACGCTATTTTTTTCTCTTATTTCAATATTTATTTTTTCAATATTTGTTAGATATTAACACAAAGTTAAATTGTAAAGACCATTTTATGAAACATGTACATCGCGTTAAAAGTGCAATTAATAATATATGATTTATCAATACCTCTTTTTATAAGTTCTCTTCCTTCATCTACGAGATCCGTCGTAAATTCGTCATCATCAAGAAATTGCTGAAAGCCTAGCATGGAAAGCAATCGACTGCCTATGCTAAAGTACGTAGCTAAGCAAAATGCTAGAATTGCCATTGGAAAGTATACATTAAATCCATCGGATATTATAGAAATAACGTCCATATGACCCATCACCTGGAAAAAAAAGGAACAATGAAGAAGCAATAAAGGTAGAAACACATTTTTAAAATTTCATTTAAATAATATTACTTGTGTATAATGCGTTTCCAGGATATGAGTTTTGATAATATGTGAATCCATGTGAATAAGTCCCAGGAAATTAAGACACATTGGCGGGGTTAAGCGACACAGCATCATACCACTGAATATAAGACTGTACTCATTCGTTTGATGATGGGGTGCCAAATAATAAAGATTCAATACTCGTATCTTCAAGACGGTCGAGTAGGCACAATAGCAAAGATATGCAATAATCAATGTGGACAATACCTAATAATTGAATAGAAACATAATATAAATAAAAATATACACTGTATGAAATAATAAACGCACATCTTTACCTCTATAGTAAAATAATCATAATTTCTCTTTGCTAAATTTAGAAATTGAGCGAATAAAGATAACACAGGAGACTTGTTGAAGAATGTTACTTCTGACCATACCACAGCCACTGATAAACAGCCGGCGCAAATAGCGGCTGCTTTTAAAACATAATCCTTCACAATACATTTCCAATACCATTCTGAAATTTAAGTGACAAAATTAGAGAATCGAAAGTTATAAAAATGAAATTGTTAAACGAACATTATGTGATATCAACACAAAATAAAATGTAAAGCAAAACGAGACAGTTACTTACCGACAACAGGATTGTAAATAATACGAAACGGAAGTGAACGATGCATAGGAAAAGCCTGTTTAAATCTTCTATCGTGACTCACTTGATTCTTCGCTACATCTTCCAAATCAAATATTTTATCCACTAAAATGCCCCATTGAGTTTCTATGCGTTGTAAAGTCTGCAACGCTTTTATAGTCTGAAACAGAAATAAGAGCTAATATGTAGAAATGCAAATACGTTATATATACATATATACTGTTAACAAACCTGTCTATGCAGACGAATTAGAGCTTTTTCAGTAGGTGTATCCGTTGGAGTATCATCGGGCAATTGTCTTCTGTTCATTCTATCCTTCAATTCTGCGGGTATCTTTTGAAAGATCGTTTCCAGATTGCAATGGAACGGATGGCCAGGTCCAATGGATATCGTTGCTACTTGTAGTGACTAAATGGTATTTGTTATTCATTATAGTATTTTTTAATTCTTACAAACATAAATATATTAACATCTTTATTTTGTACCTCGAGAATGTCGTCCACCGTCTCTTCCGCTTCGCATTTGTCTAAACTTAATTTCGCTACCTTGAAATAGCTATAATTTAAAGTATATCCAGGCTTGCTGGCGTTCCATAATCCTCGAGGTACTTCTACAAGAGCATAACCAAGCAATAAGACCAATAAGAATAAACCCCACGTATTGGACGCAGATGACGCTATGGCTTTCAATTTTTGCCTATAAAATAGTAAACATAATTGTTTATTTCTATATGCATTAGTAACATTTTAAGACTTATATTTGACTTGTATTATAACTTCATTTTAATAAAACTCACCCATCGAGATCTAAGCCAGGCTTTAGCGCAATATAGATCAAGAGTATACCACATATAAACAAGTAACTACCATAGTATATAGCGTTATCTATTAAAGCGGATTTTAACTTCCCACGTATGGTAAAATCTCCTGCTTTTATGTAAGACTGCATCAACGGAAGTATTAACCATGTCAGGCATTGTGATGTCCAGTAAACTATCCTCCATAGATTTGGAAATACATTCTCTGGCACGTTAGGCCAAGGCTCTTTACATGTGATAAATGGTGCAGAGGTTGTGTTATTGGGATCTTTAGTGCTGTTGTGTATATTTTGTTCTACGCATTGTCTGAATACGGTCTGTAAATGAAAATATTCTTTTATTTATTTTACTCTTCTATAAAGTTTACTCTTCTATAAAAAAGAAAGACTATATAATCAAAAATGGATACTTTTCATTTAGTAAAAAATAGACACAAAATTGACACAAACAAAATCAACATTATTTTTTCCGAGTATTCATGAATAAAGGCAGAACAATACCTATCTATGTCGAATTGAATCTAAATGAAAAGTACCCAATAATTAGAACAAGATCATGTGCTAAACAGATAATTACCGAAGAGACATCCAACGGTAATATGAAGATTATTAATAGAGAAAAGTACCACGCTATCAATACGGAAATAGTGACTGCAATGTGATGCCGAAACACGTTTCCATATTTGAAAAGTAGAGTCCCAGCCAGCAGGAACGCTACTATGATCTCCGTCAGGAAAGCACCGAGCACCATTTTGTCTTTAATATCTGGTGCAACAGTGATATCCGACGAATTCTATAGATCTCTAGACACTGCTGAATGCTTATGCACTTGCATTAAGACTATCCTCTGCCTCTTGCGACTCTTTGACTTTAATCTCCGCGTCTTTCTGCATCTTCTCGAGTTTCTCCAACGTGACTGATTTCAACGGGATCAACTTTGGTTTACAGAGTATATAATTCAATGCATCTGTCTGATATAACAGACCTTGTCTCGGTAAGACTATGTCGCACTGTTCCATCTGATTCTCTGTAGGCTCTGACATCTTTGGTCAATCCGCGATGCCTCAGAGAATTAACGACCTCTTCATCATGACATCTGGTAGCAGAAGAGTATGTCAACTGAAGATTAATTTGAGATTTCCATAAGAAAACGATCTTGATTCTAATTTAACTCAATGTATCATTTTCTATATCGAATGAGAGACAAAAGACTGGACATTTACTTGGACTATATTTATCCTTGATCATTACAGACCCAAGTCAACTGAGAAAAGTCAGCAGTCAATTCCTTGCATACCTGACGCAATTGACAGAACGTTGCGACAGAACTTTCTCCTTGCTGCTGTCGTTAAAACAACTAAGGTGATTATGCGATTATGCCGACACCGTCACTCCGTAATCGGATACAGGCTGTCAGTAGCGGTCACAGATGGTTGACAAACTCAGAAATCATCAGATCTTTATCATTTATCACGGCAGTGGCAGCGGAATGCGAAACCACAGATCGCAAACCATCGTGAATCGAACTGAAAGACAACACCTGGGAATGCCTGGAATGGAACGTGGGATGTCGCGACGCGACGGTGCGAAGCTCGAAACTAACGTCGACGATTGTAGGATCTGTAGATATGTCAGCGCGGCCAGTTAGATAAGTTAAATAAATGACACCGAAATTAAAGATGATATAATTGTATGAGAAAAAAAATTGTAATTTTGTAGTAATAAGATAATTATAACAAGGAAAAGGCCCCTTATCGAGCTCTTTCTGTGAGGAAAATTTGCCCAGGTCTTTAATAATATTTTATCGATGTAATGAAGTAGATAAATATGATATTGATAATTCAGTAATGAGATACACTACAGCTTGTCGGTGATGATATGACGATTCGTCATCTTGCGCCACTCCGACATTTGCGACGATAACGAACTCGTAACTTATATGCTACCCAGCAAACGAAAATGGATTGAAATTAATTGAAATGGATTCAGATTTTCAGAAATATTGATTCACGAATGTTAAAATAAATGCTTTTCAATCCTGAATGCATTTGTAATCATTTATAGGAATTGCGTGAAGCATATCTCTATGCCTTTCAATTTAAAAATAATATTATTAGCTTTTTCTGTACATAATGAATACTGTTCAATTCAAAATTTTAAATAGGAAATGCAGATTTTCAATCCAATTGCATCTAATTGAATCTAATTGAATCCAATTAAATCCAAAAAAAAGTATTCGCTATTTAAAACGCATTCGGATAGAAAAAAATTTCAATCCATTTTAATCCATTCGCGTTTGTTGGATTATAATGATATGCTACTCTTTTACGAGGCAGTTGAAAAAAAAGAGGAGGTAATGATTGTCCTGGGTTGTCCTCATTGCTACAACTGCACTCTTTTCAATGATATATATATATATATATGTATATATAGTTATAGTATTTTCTCATAATATGAGATACGGATAATTAAATAAAGAGGAAAAGAAGAAAGATTCAACGACAGTTTAAATTTGTAAAAGAAAATGCAAAAGAATTCGTCGATATTAGGTTAATATTATTAGATATTATTATTACATTTTATACTAGAGATAATATAGAGACATTATTACTTAATTGACATTGGATGTTGGCCTTAAAATCGAGAAAAAGAGAAGAAGAGAAATAAAAAAAGTCAGAGAATAGTATCGAGTGACAGCTGGAGCGCATAATAATTCGAAGTCAGCATAAATTTACACGTGAGAATTTATGTGATGATTTTATGTGAGAGTCGGGACAATTACCTAATCGAAAGTCAAAGAGATCCCAAGCAGAATAACAAGTCATGATAATGTCAAAATGATATTAAAATGAATCAGAAATGATTGAAAAATGACTTTTAATGATCGTTTTAGAGTCATTTTGACATCATTTTGATAGCATAATGACTTATTGTTCTGCTTGGGATACGTTCGAAATTCGTTCTCTGACTGAGAACTTCAGGATTCGTTTATACATTGGAGAGGGAAATGATGATGATAAATGTACAGCTGACATTCCTCGACAGTAAATAAAAAGTGTCATATTTAGTTTCGCTGAAGGGACAGGGTGACGATAATCAATCTCGAGAGCGACGCCTATCTGCCAGTTAACATGAGATCGCATTCAGATTGCTTATTTAATTGCAGCTTCAGTTGTCATAACATTATAAGCTCGATGAAAGTAAAAGAATTTTCTGCGAATGGAATAATTCTTACAACAGAAGATGATTTTGTAATTTTAAACTTATATTAATATCTATTTTTATTAAATATGTGGATTAACTTTAATCTCGGTTTAATTAATTTACTTTTTATATTTTTTTTAATTTATGAAACAAAAAAAAGAACTAAAAAATAAGTTCATAAAATAAAAATTATAAACTTAATACTACGCTTGCAATCTAAGTCTTTTTTGATACAAACGAAATTTCACTCATAAATTTCTTTGAAATAAAGGAGAGCAAAGTTCTCCCTGCTAAAATATTTTGTTAAAAAAGTGTTTGGTAATATAACAGAGATGTAACTTCGAATTTTTCTACATTTTTTAAAAGCTTAAAACAGTAAAAAAATTTGAGTTGGAAGAAGAAAAAAATGATTGCAAGCGAATGATTATAATTTATATTGGTAAATATTTTTTTATCAACAAATTAACTCAAATTATCATATTTTAATATTATAATAAAAACATTCGTGATTTTGATATAAGAAAAAAAATGCCTAAATAGTAACAAATTTTTATTTAATGTCAGAGAAGTAATTGAAATGAGTTTCATAAATCACAGTCATGTTTGATAATAAAAAATATGGGTAGAACATTTTTTTATTTAATAGAGAGAGATTTCAGAGTATAACAACTTTATACATAACTGTATATGTATTTTAAAAAAATTCTTAAATATTATACATCGACATTTGGCTTTTCGAATTTTAAATTGCATTCTGAAACGCGATTTGTTCAAACTGACTTCAAACTATTCAAAGTTAACAGCTGATAGGCGTCACATATGTTGTAAACAAATCTGAAAATGTTGCTATGTATTGGATCATCTAAAAAGTATCCGCGGTTTTTTGTCACTAGATGTGTGTTGATGGTCATATATCTAGTGACAAAGTACCGCGGATACTTTTTAGATGACCCATATATATGTATATAAATTAAACCGCAAGTAAATCAAGCTTATTCCAATTATTGCATGTAATTGCGCATGTATAAATTTATTACGTAATTTTTTCATCAATCTCATGTACATCGATTTTTTCGCATGTTTGCAGCAAATTACTTTTATTAATTTTTAATTTATTATTATTTAAATCCGTACGTCACTAAATCAAGCGCGCGCGCTGCGTCACGTGACAGCAAGTACCAATCTGAATGAGACTAAAAAAGTCCTAGTTTTCAAACGGCGACTGTACTCAATTATATCTCTCTCTTCTTCTCGCGAACGCCGCGTACATCTCTATCTCGTTTTCGAAGAGGTGTAGAAAGTGCAATGAAACCCCGCGCGACTCCGAAAGTTCATAAGTTTGAAGAAGTTTTTCACCTCTTTTCTTTTTTCTCTTCAACATCTAATCTGTTTCATTTCAAATTCAAAAAGTATAATGAACGTGATGCAGCTTATGCAAGGAACGGATCCTGTATCAGCTACGATCAGTACGCGCTTTGAGTACTTATATAGGATGTATTCCGTTTTACGCATGATGTGCATAATGCATCATTTATCCTTGTTTAATATTCGGTAAACAAGAAGGATAAATGATGCATCATGCGTAAAACGAAATGCACCCATAATCATCATTCTGTCTTCATCGTTCGTTAGACATAAAACAAACATAAAAGCATCGAAAGCTTTGAAAGTGTCCAAACCGAACGCAAGTCGCAGCATTACGGCTGATTATGGAGCGACGGCCGAGTCGGCCCAGGCTGGCCCGGCTGGCCGTGTCGTCACTATTACCACCACTACGTCGCCGTCGGCGCGGCGCGACGGCATCCCTGATCCCTCCACCACGAGTGGAGTCCACCGCCGCGGTTCAAAACCTGTCGGTCTGCATTCCAGTGTCGCCGCCGGTGAACGCCGAGCAGCAGCCGCCAAGAGCGGTAAGCGTGGTTTCGGTCTCGTCCGTTTCGTCGTCAAGCGCGTCCCGTTCCGTTTTGCCAACGCGTTTTTGATCGCTGCCTTGGCGTCACGTTTGTTGAATTCACGCCAACTGCGCGAACATGAAATAGACGAGGGTGAACCGGGTCGTCGCGCACGCGGAGGAAGCGGGAAAGCAACGTCCCGTGAAAGAGGAATACTCCAGAAAGAAGTACGCTAGTCTGCACCGGCCACGTCTCTGTAGTCTGTGGTGCATCTATCCAGAATTACATCTCGTGAGTCGGCGAGCGACGCGCGGGGCGCGAGAATATCCTCTCTTTCGGCGTCGACTTCGGTCGGCGTGCGGCCGGATTGAGAAAAAGGGTAAGCTTCTGTTTTTCTCTCTCTCTTTCTATCTCTCTCTTTCTCTGTGTCTCCCTCTTTCCTCTTTCTCTCTCTCTTTCTTTCTCCAGACGGATGATCTCGACTCCGGTGCGGATCGATCGATCGCGCGATCGTGAACCCGGTCGGTCCTCCGCTCGAAACCGCTCGCGTCCGATCGTTTTGATCGCTCCGTATCCGGAAAGGGACCACCAACACCGGATCACCACGCTCGGAGATTTCCGTTTCCACGGGAGAGAATTATACAGCCCGGACACCAGATCCGGATCTTCCCGTCCGCATTGCATTACGCTCTCGGTATTTAGAGTGGGTACACACGCTCGTTCTATTTGCATTGACTACATGCGAGACGAGGTGCGCAACCTCGGAGGGAGAAGGAGAAAAGAAGCGAAGAGAAGTGTGGAAGAGATACGGTTGGGAGAGACGGGCCCTGAGAGCGTTTTCTTCCGCGTCGAATTAACTTCATTCGCACATATTGTTTAGTCTCCTTCTATAAGACCCGGTTTCACCAATGTAAGACTTGATGATTAACTTCAATCTCGGTTTAACTTGCTATTTATCTTCTTCTAATTCTCAGAATTAGAAATGCTGAAATTAGAAATTCTGACAATTAGAAAAAGATAAAAGAGTAAATTGAACTGAGATTAATTTTACATTGGTGAAATCGAATCTGAGACCGATATTCGATTCTTATATTTGAGATTGCTTAAGTACAGTTTTAAGATATCATAAGCCAATCAGTTGTATTAGTATCTTAAGAAAATCTTAATCTATTTATTACTTAAGAGAATCTTAAAATTAGAACGGATAAATCCGGATCTACAATGGATGTTTTAAGCTTTAAGCCATAAGAAATTCACCAATTACAATCGAATGTGAGGAGAATAATTAATCATTATTCGTCCATTTCTTATGGCTTAGAGCTTAAAAATTTATTGTAGATCCGGGCTAATGAATATTACCTTAAAATCTTGAATTCTGTCTCTTCACACATCCTAGAAACGTAATACGGAAGAGAACAAGAAGGGAAGTAATGATGATTTAATCGCGAAATTTAATTCACGTATATGTGAAGAAGGATTTCAAATCCATCTTTCTTAAGCGGTTTGCTTTTGTAGCCTCTCCGAGCTTGGAGCAAGATTTGCGCATATCGAAAGAGCGAAGAAAGAAGGAAGGGAAAAAAAAGAGAGAAACAGGTGCCGAGGAAACGCAGATAGGAAGTGTGTAAAAGAGATCCGACGAAACAAGTGTATTCAGGCGTTGTAGGATGAAGGGGAATCAAGATATCACGCAGGAGAGTACGGGAGTAACTGAAAGGAAGACCTCTCATTCGTTATCATCTGGCTCTGCCAGCGTACAGCATTCGCTCCGAAACATCCCTCGGCGTCCTTTCTTTTTATTCTTATTAATCTCACCTGTTTTCGACGGCGATTCTCGCCGTCTTCTCTCGATTCCATTAAGTGCACTGCGAAACAAATGAGGGACGTGGAGATGAAATTCGGATTCGCCAACTTTATCGTAAACTCGTTCTCTCTCGCTCGACCGCGCATCGTTCTCAGGTAAAAATGCAAAGTCAACACTTTTTGATCGGATGATTGTTGAATCGAAAGATCCACGAGTGTTATGGGAGATACGATCTGTCTGAATCAGCACGAGCTAGAAGCTCTATCAACTTCTTCGAAAATCTTGGAGAAACGTGAGTTACTTTTACATCTCTTAAATGGTAATCTAATACAGTGGTAAACTAATGCATTTCCCCACTTGCTCCAAAATTCCCTTTCTCACTTTCAGAGCTGCTCCTCACTTGTTAACGAGGCAGAGAACCCGTCCTTGCCGCCGTCGTGATCGCGATCCCTGATCCACGATCCCATAAACGCACCGCGAGAGACGGTCCTTCACTGGAATACTAATGACACGGATAGTCATTTATGGCACGGCCACGGCATTCCGTGTAGAACAGGAAGGAGCCCGTCGTGAGGATCAGAGCATTTTCAGGGTGAAAGATCTCTCGAAGTGTCAAATTTTTTGGCGGTTTTCACAGAACTAAAGAATTATTTTTGATCGACGAGTCTCGGTCATCTCTTCTCGCTTCCATAAATCACGTCGAATTGAATATTATTAATAATATTCAAGATATAACAATTAAGACAATTTGACTCGTGTCGATTGAAGGCCTACGTAAAAATCTTTCACGATATTTATGAATTTCCGATTATGATATCCGAGATTAAGCAATCACTCGATATTTAAGAAATACATTTACTAGTAACGTATTTTAATTGCTAACTAATGGCTGTAGTAGAAAAAGCGGCTTAATGAACGCTTTGCGCTGATTGGATTATACTTTTAGATCTAAATTGAGACAGAACTATTTTCCTCCAGATCTAAAAATATAATTCAATAAATACAAAGTGCTTATTAAACTGTTTATTTTTTTTTTCTCTTAAACGCAGTCATTGTCTGCGATTATTTTTCTTTTTCTAAATTAATCTCTATATATAATCGTAATATTTTCTCTTCTCTGTTATGCTTCGTAAATTTTGCAGCGTACGCGACATACTGCCGGTCTGTTCAATGCACCGCGACGATTAAGTCATCGTTAATACGAAGGCGCGCATCGGACGGATTAGGTGCAATTACGAGTCCCGATTGCGCGTGCAAACCCATCGGTGCGTGCACGCGTCTCGCGTTGGTACGTCATATATACGTGCCAAGAGGGGCGCGGAGTGGACAACCACTGCTTTGGAATTCGGCTTCTTTATTTTTACGAGAGGTAACATCGGAAACCAACCTCTTTGCGGGCCCTTCTCACCTGTTACATACCGCCGCCATTTATGTTACCATTTAACCAGAAGTTAAGAGTCTCTTTCGTACATAAAACACAGCGGGCTGCCGTCCCGCCGATCTACCAGCATACATTCAAATTGTCTTCTTCCTTTTTCCTTTCTTCCCTCATTACCCTCTTTTTTCTCTTATCTTTCTATCTTTCTCTGTTTTTCTTTCTCAAGTTTATACTCATTCGAAATGATAAATTTGAGATTTGAGGTATACTTAAATTTCTCGTTATCCTGCTTTATTTCTTTCTCCCTCATTCGTTTACTTTACTTTATCTGATTTCTCTTCCTACGTATTGAAGTATACAAACAAAAGGAACGTGGGGATATTGTGTACAATTTAAAAATTTTCATAAAATTACGTTATATAACGCTAGAAATGAATACTCAAAGCTCTTTAATTACTATATTTTACTATTTTTAGCAACAGACTAAAAAAGAATTTCTAAATGAGATTAATATGTTAATAATTTTTTCTCAATCGGCGTCAATTTCTATTTTCACGCACACCAGATAGCTATTTAATTAAAGATTCAAAATTAGTATTCTGAAGTCTTCTATTAAATTGAATCAAAGAGACACGTCAATTACATATTAATCACTTGGTGTGTTTAATATTATATTAGTGCTGAAAAAATGAAAAAGACTGAACTAATTAAATAATAGTTATTGTGCATTTTAATCACGGATTCGAAGGAAATATCCTTCGTTCATCAAATATCTTAATATCGTCTCCGGAATCGAGGCGCACTCTCGTTCACCAGATTTTTCTGCCATTGGGAAAAGTCAACGCGATAATTTCAGATACATTAAGGTAAGCGTGTGGGTGCGTAGTACGACGTCGCGATCCGTGATGTGAATGGATATACCTACGCGCATAGCAGCATATCATAGCGCTATATAGCTCGACGAAAAAGAATTATTACCGTCGTTCTTCGCCATCGCGGGCGTGCTGCGTGCGAGTGTATGCTTTTCTGATGGCCTCGCGCGAGAGAGCACCGTGGGTGTAAAACGGTTCGCGCAATGAACGGCAGCTTTCGACGCCGTATATGGATATTTTCTAGACAGCCACGCGTCATCCAGCCTCACCACCGATTCCCTTTTTCTCATTATCATTACACGCAAATAAAAACTCGTTACATTTCATTGCTCGATATCATTCATCATTATGATTCGCATAAGAGTCGTTCTTTTGCTGATTCTTCCAATCGCTGAACTTATTTTCTTTTTTCTTCTTTCCCTTTTATAAAGTTTCATCAATAATTTTTTTTAATTATTACATATAATTTTTTTAATTATTACAAATAATTTTTTTTTAATTATTACATTATAAGGATTGTAAACATTGCAACGAGAAAACGTGTTTATGAAGCAGTATGTTCTTACGTATGCTTTATTTTTGTAGACAATTATTATGCGCTTTCCTAACTTCAGAATGATAAACGTGTGTTGTATTTTATTATATTGTTTATTGTATTTTATTATATTGTTATATTGTTTATTATATTGTTTTATTATATTTTATTGTATTGTACATTGTTAAATCTATGGGGGAAAATTTCACTTAATATGAATTGCACTCCTATTCAATTTTATAGTAAAACAATGATTATATTTGACACTACAGTTTGACGATATAGTGTCACGATATAGTCAAGCAAAATTTAATTATCGTTTTGGTAAAAAATAACGATATATTTAGTAGGAGCAATGGTGACTAACATTAGATTAAATTTAACTCTATAGATTTAACAGTGTAAAGCCTTAGACACAAGGCAACAGCGATAGGAATAGAGTACAGAAATAAGCGATATATAATTATCGCGTCTCGTTGCGCAATGCCGCGAAAGAAATAAAAGGCCTGCAATCAATCTGATCGCGTTTAGATTGTAGCATATTCTCTCATCTGCTTCAAGAGAGAGAGATTATAGTGTACCTATATAAACAAAATGAAAAATCTGAATGGTAAGCTATAAGGCGATAGATACAGAATTTCACCTCACCAGAAATTATCATTGCCCTATTCTGTGTTCCTGTATGCATTAACATATGCATTTCCGAATGTTGGATTCTTCTGTTTCTATCGTTATTTCTATCGTTATTGCTGTTGCCGTATTTAGGGCTTAAAATATTAAATTACTACAAGATAAATTATCGTTTCGTGCCTCTAGGATGAAAAATACGTTCTATTTTCTCGTGAACTCGGGCGTTCTAAACTTAAACGGTGTGCTTGCTCAGTATTAATTTTAGTAGATCTTTGCCGACACTGCGCGAGCCGCATATTTGCTTTCCCGCGGACGAAGGACCGGAAAAACAACTAGCATAACGCAAAATGCCTGGTTAACGTAATGGCACTGTCTTCTTTCGTGTTTGCAGAATGTGTCAAGATGACATCTATCTCCTATTTATGTGGCATCATTATCCTGCTTTACAGTCCGATCGCATATACATGCGGTAAGTTTCTTAGAACGGTGTTACATAAATATACTCCGAGCACTGTGTGAAGGAGGATAATAATGATGCTTTTGATAACAGAGAACGACAAGATTCCTGAGATGAATATGTCCTTTACTCGACACCCTCAACCTCTAGCAGTTCCGTTATATGATGACGTAAACTTTGAGTGTAGTCTCAACATCCCCGCGGAGCGTTTCGCTTGGCATCACAGGCCTCTGGGTTCAAACAAATGGACACTATCGTCTGATACCTATAGCAATACTGGTGGTAAAACATCTCGGCTCATTGTTTCCTTTGATAACGTATTAAAGGCCGGAGATTACCGTTGTATTGCGTTCTTTGGTGAGCCTAAAAATTAATATTTTACTTTATTTAATCTGTAATCTATTTTTTATCTGCAGAAGCTATGCGTTTGCTACAGATACTCTTCGCCCTGATAAAGTGAATTACAATATTCATTAGCATTCTGATAATAGATTTGGACAGGGAGACCCGCAAAACGCATAGCTCCTATATAGAAAATTTTTGTGGAAGCCTTAAAAATTTTTTGTCTTATTTTATTTAACTATACTTTGTTTTTTACTTAACACAAGTATCAAGATTGTGTTATTTACGAGAGAGATCTTGGTTTCTACACCAAGAGATTTGTATATACTTTTTTAAATTTCTTCGCAGGTAGCAGTGGATTAGTGTCGGATCCAGCGAGACTAACGCTCGCGACGATACAGGAGTTCTCCGATAAAAACGATGTCTATATCGAGGTGGCGGAGGGTAACACCGTGCCTATTACATGTCCTGTACCATATTCCGAACCGGAAGCCATAGTACAATTTTACAAAAACGACATGCTCATCAAGGATGCAAATTTAGTGAATGGCAAAACCATGGTCATCAAGGATGTCAGATTGGCGGACAGTGGATCATACTACTGTAGCGTTAACAATTACATAACGACAGTAACATTGACGAGCAATCATAAGATCATCTTGACGGTACACGCGAACTTGACTTTCCAACCGCCGTATCTTACCAAGCTATCGCAAACGGAATATGTAGTTACGCGTGGTAAAAACGTAACGCTGGAGTGTTTCGGCGCTGGTTACCCTGTGCCACACGTTACCTGGAGTCGCCTAGGCGGTTCTTTACCATCGAAGTCTGTGAAATCGTCCAGCGGTTTGACATTGGTCCATGTTCAACCATCCGATCGCGGGGAATATGATTGTGTGTGGAGCTATGATGTCCGACAGATAAAATCGGCGATCATTTTAAGAGTGGTGGAACCACCGAGGGTCACGAGACAGCCAAGCGCGTGCAAATTCCACGAAGGCGGAAAATTGCAGCTCTCGTGTAACGTAACAGGCGAGCCGCAACCAATCGTCGAATGGCTTATCAACGGAGAGTCCTTGATGCCTAGTGAGACACAGGAGATGACAGCCTCTACTCTTCTTATATCTGAGGTCGAGAAGAAGCACGCCGGGATCGTTCAGTGCGTCGCCAGCAATGACTACGGATCGCATTCAGGATACAACCTGTTGCAAGTTCAACCACAAGAGCATATTGTCGGCGGCAAGGCCGAATCGAAACCGAACTACGGGACTGTGTCAAGACATAAGCATACTAGGGGCGGTGGTAGACGTAACAAAAATAAAGAAGCAAAGAAAAAGGGAGACGGAGGTAATTATTTGTTTTGTATTATCATTTCGTTATCATTTTATCAAATTTTATCATTTTATCAATTTTATCGTTTGGCTGAAATATCATCGATTAAGTTCCTTCAGCACGATTTTCTTTTATGAAGAATTGCAAAACTCATAATTTTTATTAAGATTAAAATTGAATGGGGTTTTAATTTTAATTGTGCTTTTTATGTGATTAATTTTAACATAGTATGGCTTTATTTGACGATTAACTTTTGGACCGAGATTTTTAATTGAATACAAAATTACATAAACAGAGAAAAATTAAAAAATTGTAGCGCAATTTCAATTATCAATTTTATTTTCAATGCTATTTTTTATATCTAATTTTTCTTTTTAATTGTGAACATAATGAATCCAATTTCCGTATTATACAGATAGCATCCAAATTGATATATTAAATATGCATGTATAAAGCAAGAAGATCGAACTTTTTTGCGTGGGGGTCCAGGGGGGCGGAGCCCCTCGTCAGAGCTCGCGAGCCTCCAAAGGCAGCAGCGCGAGCAAGCTAGTTGTTTTTATCACTTTTCCTCCGAACGATGCCTTCCCTACGTTTACCGCCCACCATTGACTCAATGGTGTAGCCTTTGGTGGATAATTCTACCGCTTCGATATATGAGCTCTAATTAGTTTGACCGTGTTCGGACATTGTCATGAACTGTACCGACGGTATATTTAAACACAGCCTTAACATACAAGCAAAAAACTACCATGAAAATTAATGCTCTCATTACTGGTATCCTTATGAAGATGAAAACGTACGGAACTCTCACTCAACTTGTTATTGTTATGAATTACATAATTATTAAAAAAAAGTGGTTACACTCTTAATTTTTTTTTTATATATATTACATTTTCATTTCAATAACATTCATTTAAATAATTTTAATTCTGTTGTTGTCTTTTATATTTTAATCAAAAGATTAATTCCTCTCTATTAAATTATTTATCCTCTTTTCAGCAGAAATCGAGTTGAATCCTCCCGATGTGCCCATCATCACGAGATTGTCTGATATCTCCGTTATGGTGCGATGGACAGTACCGAAGAACACGGGCCTGCCAATACAATTTTTCAAAGTTCAGTATCGAGAAATAGGCTCGAAGATAAGTGGTAAACAGACGAAGTGGATGACTGCCAACTCTGAGATACCGAATCATGTGCGGTCCTTCGAAGTGACCGACTTGCAGACTGAACATACCTATCGATTTAGAATCGCTGCGGTATACTCAAATAACGACAACAAGTTGAGTAAGAATTCCGTACGTTTTCATCTCCATAGAGATACCGGTATTGAGAGCACTAAAATGCCAATACCTCTATTGACTAGAATTGAAGCGTTAGGGCCACATGAGATGTTGTTGCTTTGGCAGAATCCCAACAGATCAGCAAAAATCGATGGGTTTTATATATATCATCGGGCTTCCACCTCAGCCGGTGAATATTTGAAAACCACTGTCGAGGGAAAGGATGCTTCCAACATGACCATTTCTCACTTACTACCCGATACTCCATATGAATTCAAAATTCAAAGCTTTTCTGTAGATGCGGCATCGGAATTTTCTCAAATATTGCGACATAAAACTGAAAAACTCGTTGTTGAGCATCCAGTTCAGCAAGTCGTGGCGGAAAATAAATTGAGACCGAACGAGAATAACAAGAATGTTAGTATACACGCCATAATCGGTGGAGTATTTGGAGCATCGGTCATTCTGGTCGCTCTCGCTTTCGCAGCGAGATTCCTGTACAAAAGAGCCAAGTATAAGCAAAGTCAGGAATCGCAAAGTGAAGGTATGTGTTTTGAAGAAAAAAATTGATAAAACGGAATTCTTTCATAATCTTGAATGTAGATAACATACTATATAACTGTTGTGTGTTTCGCGGGTTTTCTCCGTGTCTAGATCCATTCTTGGAATGCCAACGTTTCGTGAGTCTTGCAGTCCATTTCATCAGGGCGAGGAGCAGCTTGATACTGAACTGTAAGGCTCACGAAATGTTGGCATTCCAAGAATGGATCTAGACACGGAGAAAACCTGCGAAACACACAACAGTTATATAGAAAGCACCCATGGAAGTCTCAAGAATATTAGATAATATATTCTTTTTTTTTACAAGCAGGTAAACCAATAACAAATGGACGAGTAATAAACGGTGGAGTCACAGACTCCAAGATTAACATTACATCCAATCCGCTTGCCGGCCTCGACACATCCGAAGATATAATGCAGCCTAAGGTCAGTATTTGTAAGTAACAACATTTGCACTTTTATTTCACTGGAAGAAAGTAACGGAACTGAATTCAGTCATTTGGCATTGATCCATCGATAATGAGAAGGCATTGAATTTCGCTTTCAAGCTTTTAATTCTATAGCTGCGCTCGCTTTGGGTGCGACATACTCGACTTGTTGCTAACTTTAATCAGTCATTTACTTTCCTTCCGGAGGTCAGTACGATTCTAGACGAGCGCGGAAAAGTACACGTTAAACACATACATAAAAATTCTGTCGCTTTAACAATTGAATTAGTTTTGCATTTATTTTAAGTAAGATCTTTCAGTATTGACATTGACTTCTGCTCTCGTCTAATAAGTGTAAATCTGACATTAAATTGCCCGATATATTAAGGAGACTAGTCTTTTCTAGTTTTAGCATTGGTCGCGCGCTGCTCTTTAATTCTACTCGCTCTCTGCACTCTCTCTGGAGCCGCTTTTCTTTTGTTTTTCCGAACGCGACACACGCACGTTACCACTTACACGCTCTAGATCTGAAAAAAGAAGCGAACGAACACGCATGTTTCTAAATCCAGAGCGGACAACAATCATCGATGGAAATGACGTCGTTTCTAAACGGCCAAAACAACAATGGCAGCAACAACGGCCATAACAACGGCGACGCAGCTGGGTCTGACGTAAACGTCACGTCACATAGCGAGCCGTCGTCTCTACGTCAAGGGCCGCTACCTATCGAACAACGTTTGTGAGAATGATTGCAGCTATATCTCTGTTTTATAGACGGTAAGACCCGACCTGACCCGCATCCTCGAAGACGGACGTTTACACCGTTGATCGAACCCACGAATATATTAATGAATTTTATTTCGCGGGAAGAAACGTAAGGACTTGTCGATACGTTATCTCATTGAAAAATATAACTTATAGACTGTATTAACGTTCAGCTATTATCGCAACGATGAGACTGTTGCAAGACATTTACAGGGTGTCTTAAGTAGATATGCTCAAATGTATTCGCTACTGTAGATTGGGATTTATTTCACGCAACTTGCATGGGAAAAGATCTGCGACGTCGTAGATTTCTCGGCAAGTATGATGTATTTTTTATATTCAATATAACTCAATGTAATGATTATCGAATATAGTATTATATATAAACAGATACTTCTTTTCAAGTCTTCTGTTTATCGATACGAAGATAGTATTTCAGAAATAGTCCCATTTTATAGTGCATCGTTAGAAAGTAAAAATGATCTGTCTGCATCCTATAACATATTCTTTATCTTTCTCTTTCTTTTTATAAGAATTTTATTGATACCCTTGTCCGTGAGTGAAGATGTGAAATTAAATTAATGTACCTGCGAAGTAACTGACTTAACTGTTACACATCTACTTGACGATCGTGAACTAGTGAGCGTTGACTAATATTGTTTAGTAATTTTTTTTATCCCTTTTTGTGGTTTCTATCCCTTTACACACTTTCATAAGCGAATTATATTTTTTAAAAATTTTGTACTAAAAGTTTATGTATTTCTAACACCCGGTTGTACCAACGTTACTTTTGATTTTAAGCGAAATTTAAAACTTTCTCTATCTCATTTTAAAACCGAAAAGAGACAGGAACAAAGAGACTTTTAAGCCTCGTTTAAAATTAAAGTAATGTTGGTGCAACTGGGCCTTAAGTACATAATTTAAAGATACACAATACGTATAGTTACATTAACTATTCGCGAATGTTGAAAATAAGGTAGTGTTATTTTACGAATAGAGACTTACTAGTAATATCCTTTTTTATAAAATAATTAAGGCGTAATGTGGTTTTTTGAGTCATATATTGTTAACATTATCTTGGTGTGTATGCCTGTTATTTTTATAAGTGTTTTCCTAGCTGCAAAAGAAAGATCAAATAATTTACTTTTACTATTATATGTTATTCATGATCAATGCAATATTATACGTCATGATATCTCTGACGGTGATTTGTTATCAAAATTGTATATGTATATAAAACGTTATTTTGAGAAAAACCGTTATAATATATGGTGAGCAGGAAAAGAATATGATAAAATTATATTTTGATAATTAATATTAGTGTATGGCAGCAAAAGACAAAAATTGTAAATACGAGTGTACAAAACTTTTCTAATAAATTGTTTAAGCATTTGGCTTACGAAAATATTGCAATTCACAATCTGTGAATTAACACAATGAAGCTAGTGAAAATATACATTGTAAATATTAGGATAATACTCAAGCGACATGAATGAATATATGTGCCTTACATCTTGCCTGAGGATAATGATTACGAAAAAAATAACGATTATTTATATATTTCTGTACATGTATGCTATCATTTTTTGTGTACTTAATTTTTATAAAATAAATTATATTTTAAAAAAATGAAAAAAATGTGAGATACACGAGCCTGCGCGAAATAAAGTTTTATCAAGCATTCCTTTTTTTATTCTGTGAGATTTTATAATTATATTTGGACATAACATGCTTTAAATATAACGATTATGCGATTAGATAAATAATCATTGATAAAATACTGTTGAAGATTCAGGGCTGGATGTTTTTCATTAAAAGAGATATTTATAGTTCCAATAATGAAATGTTAGAATTGTCTACACTCAGTAGATATCAACTAAAAATAACATAACATTTATGATATAATTCACACTCAACATTGTAACTGTTATGTAACACTATGTGTTATTGTTTGCGTTCGGCGGACCAACCGTTGAGTGCTCACTGTTATTGGTGTATTATTTTAGATCATCCAATTAGCATTTTAGATCTGGAAGAATACATCAATAGCAGCGAGCGCTCACTCAACTGTTGAGTTCGTTGAACGTAGCTATTGTCGTTTTTGTTATGATTATTATGAATTACATAATTATATACGAAAATTATCATTTTAGTGGTTATAATTTGGAATAACAACGCATATACCAGATACCAATATATTTATATTGTTGAGAGATAAAATTATATATATTTATATTATATTTAGTTAGTATGACTGGATATATAATTTCTAATTCTCAAAGGATAAAATTGCATATGTTACGTTATAAATTCAATTATCACACTTTTTTATATATAAAATTCTATTTCAATTCTATCACAAAAATTAATCATTTCTGTATACATATTGCACATGTTTTTATACGTATAATATTCAATATATAGTTTATTTACGTGTGATTTCTTAAATTTTCTTGCGTATTGCGTACATATGTACATAGAATTACGAAAATAGAGTTTCGTCACGAGTTATATAAGTTCAAAATATAAATTTAATGATTTTTCTTATTTCTTCCTGCGGCCATCGAACATTTTTGAACCAAAGGACTAATCCCGCCGACACCTGTGCCTCTTCCGGCCAGCTGGACAGAGGGCGCTCGACGGTTCCGCTGCGTGGATTTAAAAGTAACCGTAAACCGCGTGTATCACGACCTCGGAGAATCTGCGAATTGTATGCGTTCGTATGTACGTGCACAACATAAATAAATAAATCGAGTGAAACATCATAGAGAATTGTCCTTCGCATGGATTTAAAAGTAACCGTAAATCGCGTATCATATATCTAAGAGAGTCTGCGGATTGTAATGTTCGTAGAATTCATCAAACTAAGGTATAAAGCAACTAGTCTGTAACTCTGCAGCTGGAAACGATTCACGAGATTCGTCAAAATAACACATCGACTTTTCTTCTGTTTTTTTTTCTCTTTTTATTAGCGACCGTGAAATCATAAACACCGGCAGATCTCAACGGCGGGACTGAGACTCGAGATCAGGATGTGCGATTTGATAGACCTGAACAGTTCGGACGTGAGGGGAGCATTAGAACCGGCAAAGTTGGCGTCGCCGTTGATCCCGGCGCCGAAGAATATCGAGTGTGACGATGGAACGAACTTGGAATTGGTGACGGAGAAGCGTGAGAGTGATGGAAACAATCCATTCGATCAAGTGTTGCACGAAACCGTCGAGTACGTCAATAAGAAGGGTGATCCCTTCGAGGTAATGTTACAACGAGCCTTAAGATCTAAAAGTTTGAGGAACGCACAATCCGTGGACTTTACAGACGACTTTACACCGAGGAAAAAGAGATATTTTAAAACGATGAACAAGACGTTTGGTATGCTCGACGAGTCGTTCAAAAGCAGGTTTGGCTTGTTCAATAGAGACAAGAAGGAAGCAAAGATCAAGACAAGAAGCGTTGGTATCGATATGAGAAACGCTGACATTTGTGACAGCGATACAGCAGATAGTGTGTGTCTCTCTAAACAGGAACATAAGATATCTATTGTTGCTTCAGACTCACTTGAGTTGTCTATCTTAAACCAGTCTGCAATGAACGACACACTGCTGGAAGGATTTCCTAAGTCCAAGGAGAGTGACAAGGTGTCACTTTTTCTAGAGAAAGATATGGCATTTGAAGAATCTGTCTTCCCTTCAAACGTCAAACATTTAAAACTGTCAGATACTCAGCGTTCGTTATCACAAGGAAAATCACCAACAGAATTACTGTATCAGAATAGAAGATCGCAATCCGTAACAGAGGACAAGAGGAAAGTCTTGCAGAGTGACAATAGCACTATATCATCCTTCCTGGACAGAGGCTTCATGGAGAGTAGAAGCGAGCAATCTGTGTTATCCAGTTTATCAAATATCTCGTCTATAACAAAATTGACTTCTGCTTCACTATCGTCGTCAATACTGTCGAATGATCCTATGAATCATGCTTTCTTGGATAACAGCTCATTGAAAATGAGTCAGGATAAGATGAGTACAACTGAAAATTCTATGGAAATGAAGCTGAAGCAGTATGACTTATCGGACTTGGCAGAAAGATTTAACAAATTGAAATGCATTATGAATAATACAACCAATATCTCGAGCATAACGGAGGAAGACTCAAATTCCATGAAAGAAGAAAATATCAAACGAATTGCAAATAATAAATTAATAGATGTCGATGTATTTGTTCCAGAACAAAATAAAGAATTTAACAGAAGCTCATCTTCCACTTGTTCTTCGGACTCTGTATTCACTGTAAGATATTTAATATTACATTTTGTATAGCATTTAGATTTATTTTATAAAAAATGTTTAAATTTGTGTTTATCATTTAGTATCTCAACATTTAAATCTAAATGAATAGTTTTACAAAAATAATTTATTTCTAAATTATTTGATATTGAAACAGAACATAAAAATTGATTACAGAATACAAGTAAAATCGATAAATCGATACTGAAAGAAGCCAAGGTACTTGCAAAGACTTTTGAGGAATTGACATCGAAAACTGATTCTGGATGTAAGTATTTTATGTATTTATTATAACACTCGCAATTAATTTAAGTTCTTAACAGTTCTTTTATTGTTCTTTTTTTACCAGCTATAGAAGATGATTTTATTTCAAATAATACTCTGTGGATGTCAGAATTACTACCGGCATTTGAGGATGAACCTGTGGTAAATGATTTAATTGATTTACCTGTGTCGCCAGAAAGAAATTTAAAAGACATTAAAAACAGTGATACAAAGCAATCTCCTGCAAGTGTCGATAGCGCGGAAGAGAATATATTTAAAGAAATGGAATCACCATTTACCAATAGTTCTGTTGTAAAACAAAACATAACTTCGTTATTGTTGGATCTTAGAAAATTAGTTAAAGAAAGTAACCCGAAAGCTAAAAAATTACTCGATGATCTTGAAAATATTTTGGATATTAATTATAAAAATAATACAGAATTATTAGTAACTTGTTTCAATACGTCAAATAAATCACAAAGTTCTCTGAAAATATCTTCGGAAAGCATCGAAAGATTTAATAAATCAAGTACAGGTAAAAGTGAAGAAAAAGAAGATAGTAAAATATTATTTTCAGAAAAGCTTTGTAGTGATGAAAAATCGCTGCCAGACATAAATACATTGAGAGATACATCACCAGATATTGTTAGCATTGAGAAATCATTAAATATGTCTTTATCCTGTAAAGATAATAGCGAAGATTGTATGAGTACATCTAACTTATCAGAACACAGTAAACAAAAAGTAAAGAAAAGTAAAGAAAAAGATAATCAAGTAGATAAAAAGGTAGCGATAGAACTGTTGATAAATCTTAAAAAATTATTGAGTGGTCAGGCTGAAAAATACCGCATTAAATAGCACTGAAAATGAAATGCAAGCAAATTACATTGAAAAGCAGAATATTCAACAGACTACACCTGTACGAAATCGTCAAGAATCTAGTCGTAATGTGCATTCGTCTACACTTTCGACAAAAATGGTGCATAGACGAAGCTTGGAGTCAAAATCTAAAGTGAGTAAATATTTATTTTATTTTCTACGATAAAATTTTAATTGTCTTATGCATTATTGTATTTTTGCCATTTTAGAAGATAGATAGAAGAAGTATATCCGCAATTGAGTCATCGCCCAAAAACACGCAAGTATGCAGACGTAAGAATACATCTGAATCTGAGAACCGTCAGAAACGTTTTTCAAGCGATCCCGGATTTATTAACAATTTATCAAATAAAAAACTTATGCCAGAAGCGTATAACTCAAGAAAGGGTAATTTGTATATTTATATATTTGCGCATTATTATTACATGATCATTCAGATATATAAATTATTGAATTACATTTTGAAATGTAAATAATATACATTTGTGATATATAGATGATTAAGTACTCTAAAAAATTTTAAGGGGGATTCCTCACACTAAATCAAGACGAAAATTTCATATAATTGTATTCCCGAAATGGCTTACCATTTCAAAGATACACAAGAGTTAAAAGAAATATTTTTTCCAAAAATTTCCAAAAACCACTTTAGTGTGTTATTTTGATAAAACTTTAAACATATACAAAGTTTCAACTTTAGCACCCTGTCTATTTAAAACATATGATCACACACACATAAAATTTTCGTCTTGATTATAATGTGATTTATAGTGTGAGGAATTACCTCTTAAAATCTTTTAAAGTACTTAACTATCCTGTATAGATAATCGAATTGAATTGAATTTGTTAAAATATATTTCAGCAGAAGTTGCAAAGTCTGATAGCGGAAAAGAGAAATCCATTGCTATAAGCGACGTTAAAAATAAACTGAAAAAGAGATCAGACGTAATTAATAAAAGAGGTCCTATGAAAGCAGTGCATCCTCTAGATAATATACAGAAAAGAAGAGGTAGATCTCTCTCTTTTAAACTTATTGAAATAATTCGAAGAAACTTGATTAATTGATAATATCCCTGAATGCTTATTAAATATAGAATTAATTATAAAATTAAAATACAAAAATTGATATTTTTTGTTATAACTAGCAACTAAGCATTAATGTTTTATTAACTGATAATATAATTTGCTCATTTCTACAACAATGTAGCATCATTTGGGAGACAGGCGCCATCTTCTCAAATCACTACGCCACCAAAATCCGACAAAGCTATTCCATCGGATAATAAAATAATCAGCAGCACCCCAAATTCGACGGATAATTATTACATGCCTAAGAAACCTTCAAAATCCAAACCGATAGCCTCGTCAACACCAGACGGCCAAAATAGCAAGAGTGTACCGTTGATATCCGCTAATAAAAAGCGTAACCTTTCCTGCGATATCTCGCCGGTGACTACGCATGTAAACATGTTGAACAGCGATGAACAGAAGAATAGTCCTAAAAGGTGAGAGCAAATCGATTTAAAACAATCAGGTTTTTAGTTCATTATTTATCAAAACAAAAGAAAGAAACTGATTTAAAACAATAATCGTTTCTTTAGCTTATCATTTATTTCAAAAGTAAAAAAAGAAGAAGAAAATATGAAGATAAGATGTAAGAAACGGTTTTGTTTATTTCACAGAATGTCTAAGCTGCCAACGCCGAAGAAATGTACAACACCTACGCGTCAGCAAACGGACGGTATTCCGAGGTTCCTGACGCCACCGAGGCATTATTCGTTCAATACAAATAATCTGCAATCGCCGCAGCGCTTGAACAAGAGCTTAATCAGTTTTCAGCGGTACTCCCCTGCGAATGAGAAGAATGTCGGAAAGACAATACAGCAGAGTCCGCTGAAGGAAACTAATAGAATCACACCGAAAGTTAAACCATTTAACTTGGTACGTGTGTAACATGTTTCGTACGAGTATTATCGGATCAATCTTTTACATTTATGCGCAGGTTTCCAAAATTAAGCGACATAGTATCAGCAATTTTGCCGAGAAGGAGAATAATTATGTGCGAGATTGAAGTGAAAAAAAGGAGCAAATCGAAACGACCGCGCCGTTGTGATATTGATAGTATATCGGAGCTTGCTTCATTGAAAAAATTGTCGTAAGACGTACGGTTTTTGTTTTATACTCTTGTGATAATATTTATATGTTTTATAATAAAATGTGTGATTCGACTGTTCGCGAGTCTTAAAGTAATCTCATTAGAGCGTTTTTGTACAAACATTATGTGTATCCTCGAATTTATTTACGCAATTTATTTTCTTCTTACATTAGGCCTTTATTACACCTCTCTCATATGTTTGTGCATACGCTAATTATTCAATTGCTACAAGCTTATTATGAGACCTACAGTTTTAATACCGGTTCCGAACGGCGGATTTTTCGAGAGGTGTTTTTGTGGATATTCTCGGGAGATTTTCGGCCTTTTCCGAGAGGAGACACGAGCATAGATATTTTGATTTCCTACTGGGATCGATCGAACCCGGGATCTCTGGTATGATAGACCAACGTGCTGTCTGTCATGCCACGCTCGCGCTCACACACTTTATCAAAATAATTTAAAATAATAAAAAAAAAGAAGAAGAAAAAGAAGAAGTGATGCGTACCTTTTTTTAACGGTCATTTTCATAAAGCATTTTTAGAATGCTTAAAGCTTTTTAGAATGGATAAAGCCTCTCAGACCGTATAATGTTTATTTCGTTTTGATAAAAAAGAAAATATGATTTTATATTTTTGTCTATAAGCTGGCGCGTAAAAAATGTACAAGTTGCGCATCACTGGTTTAAAACAATGCAATAATGAAATCCCAGGTTTATGAAAAAATTAATGAGATTCGACGAGGCGAATTATATTATTAATTACTAAGGATATAACTCTGATAATTTTGAAAATGTTCCAATAACATGCTTTAAAAATTGATTTCCCCTTCACTTCCTCCCAGCTATGTACTTAATGATTTATTGATTGTAGCATAAAATCTAATGTTCGGATGCGTAGTGCCAATTGAAAATACTTGCTTAATATGAAAAACTGTTATACGTTTTTGTACGCGGCATTAAAAAAAAAATGTTGACATCCGTTCGCGTGGAATCCGTGATTAAAATTTAAAATTGAAAAGGTTGCGGCTGATCCGTGTGATTCGTTCCACGCATGCGCTGCCCCCTCCCCACTTTTGTACGCACGCATGCGTATGCGCGCGCAGAATCATATGATCGCCTCGGTCCTCGCCGCCTTCGGTCGACGGCGACGCCGCGGATTTCGGAAACGGCAGATGCAGCATTGTATCCGAGGCTGAATTTGTGGGCGTCACGTGCTTTCCCGAAAATTTTCTTTTTTTTGAGAACTTGGGTGAGTTAATATCGAAATTTGAAATACTGATACTCTTCTTTGACTTTCACATTCTACTTTCAACGTAATTCAAGTAGCTGCGCTGGAGAATTGACGCTCTGGTGGAGATCGCGATCGAATTCCGATCAATCTAATCATTAGTTAATTTACTACATAACGCGCATTGTAATCCGTTCATGTTCATTTCTGCTAATGTAGTATTAATCTGGTTTAACTTAGTTTTTAGCTTTCTTCAACTCTCTAAGAATAAGAAAAAAATAAAGAGTAAATTAAATCGAGACTTACCCTATAAGCGCATATTATTTGATATTATTTGATAAGTAATATTTTAGACAATATTATTTGATTAAGTAATTTTTTAGACATATTTTTAAAACATGAAATGTAACACTTGAAGAATATTGTTCTAAAATTATATAATATTAAGTAATACTCTCAAAATATTAATGGGAGGTTATATATCTATTACTGATAATATTGTATGATTATTAAAAGTAACGTAATGATTGTTAAAAGTTATTTAATGGTACTGTAATGTTGTATAAACATTAAAAAGTATTATAACAAAATTTACTTTAATTTGTAACAACTGTTACAACTGTTTAATATAAATATATGTTTAAAGACTGAAAATAATTTTGGCGCGCTTGTAGAACTGTAGAACTGGATATTCTGATACTTATTAGGTGTTGGAATTAATTCGTAGCGTTTTTTAATGAAAGAATGTTATTTATTTCACATGAGCATTAAAAAATACATTAATGAAAGTACTTCCCATCACTTGTAAAACGCTACGAATTAATTCCAACACCTAATAAAATCATGCAAAAACGTTTTTTTTTTTTAGCACAAGACGCAGCATAAACTGATAAGAAATTTTTCGTTATTAGATTGTGAATTCAAATTGCATTAAATTAAGAGAGAGAAAGAGAGAATAATTAATATTTATAAATATTTTAATAATGTTTCAGGGATATTAAGGTATAATACCTAGGATATTTATATAAATGGACATATAACCTCTATAGAATATTCTCATAATATTAAAAAATATTATGATATTTTCGAAATATTAATAATAACTTATTTTAATTTGTTAATAATAACCATATAACATTCTAGGAATATTTTGCACTTATAGGGTATTGTATAATCTACATAATATATGGATATATTATAGATATAATTTTATTTTATTTAATCTACATTGATAGAAACGAACATAAACACGAACAGTTGGAACTTTTTTTCCGTATAGAAGAACGAAGTTTTGTTATAAAGTCTTGTTATAAAATCTTATCGATTAACGAGTTATTAACAGTTGATCGAACAATTTAATTGAATTTAGTCAAAGTTAATCGTAAAATAAAGATTGAAAATTGAGATAATGAAATATAAAAGAAATGTTTTCGCCTTTTAGAAAAATTCAACTTCATTTCTATTACTCTCCCTTATATTCGACATATGCTCTGATTTTTATTTTTACCAGGACATCTATATTAGATCAAGAGAATCCCATATTGTTTGCAAATCAGTTTCGCAAGTTCTTATAAAAACAGCAAGTTTTTCGTCTGCTTTAGGCCCGATTATACCAATGTAAGATTAATTTTAATCTTTGTTTAATTTACTGTTTATCTTTTTTTTAATTCTAAGAATAGAGAAAAATAAACATCAAATTTATTAGTCGTTCTTGATCCCCATTTGGATTCAAATTTCTTTATTCGTTCGGATTTCATTTACTGCAATGTACGTGCGTCTAATTTCCGACACGGTTATGGGAATTGCGAAGTGCGAAGCCTGGGCTGTATTTCGAAACACCTACATTAATACAAAAAACTATAGTTTACGGTTGCTTTTCTTGTAAGAGACACATAGCATTTTTAACAATAGCGGGGTTGAACCGACTTGGATTAAATTAATAGCTGCTTTAGCAGAATATTTATTTTGCATACCATTGATACTTTTCTTCCTGGATTAGCTCGGATCTACAATAGATTTTTAAGCCTTAAACCTTAAATAAGAAATGAAATCATAGTCAATTTCTTACGGCTTAACACTTAAAATATTTATTGTATGTATAATTTACTATGGTAGCTGAAAATATGGTAACTGTGGTACAATAAATATTTTAAAGATTTTGACTATGAATTCCAATAAAATTAATCAAACTTATTATATATTTTACTGTAGTTTTATTAACGAATAAGAGAAAATTCTCCGAAATATAATCCCAGAATTATCATATTTCCAGAACAAACTCTAAGAGAAAATTTTCTCCGCGTAACTGTTGCGGTTGACGTTACGTATTTTATCTGCTATAGTCGAAAACATTAACAATCAACACAAACGTAAAAGATAGAGCATTCGTATCGATTGTATTGTTGAAAGAAAAACAGCCTAATGCGGGATCTGCAATAGAAATCGTAGCGGTCTTAACCCTAAAAGTGATGTAAACAAGAATTTTAGTTACTTGCAGTTACGTTTTAAAATATAATTCTGTATGGGCGACGCTTTAAGGATATATCCACACAAACTTGCTTCCAATCGTATAACTTTTATAAAGACGCACATAAAATGTGATTGGATAATTTTCTTTATGCATACGTTTATGTGGTTATGCAAATTTATGTAGATATACCTTAAGTTCCGAATAGGTATAGTAAACCTTAAGGCCCAATTCCATCACGCACGGTTGACTCTTAACCAAGGTTCAACTTGTTTCTCATCTCTTTCCAATTCTAGAATTGAAAAGAAACAATGAATAAGTTAAACTTTAAAGGGTTCTCTACATAGAAAATCTCGTAGATGGTAGTGGAGTCTTAAGTCGTAGGAAACCAACCAATCACAATCAAATATAAGGAGAATACTCGATTAGAATTGGTCAGTTTCCTACGATTTAAGACTCTACGACCGTCTACCGTCTTCTATGTAGAGGATCCTTAAGAATTAACTATGAGGTGTGGAATTGGGCCTAAGAAATTGACCAATCATAGTCATGTATTTTTCTCATTCGATTATGTGACTTAGGCCCGTTTCTACAAACGCAGATTAACTTTAATTTCGATTCAATTTACTCTTTGTCTTTTTCTAGTTCTAAAGATTAGAAAAAAACGAAGAGTAAGTTGAACCGAGATTAAAGTTAATCTACATTGGTGGAAATGAGCATTAGGGTCTCTTTCACCAATCTTGGTTAAGCTAATCGGTTACATGGAGCTCATTTAGGCCTAGTTTCACCTTTTATTACTCATTATTATTCTAAATAAGTTAAAAATTAATCATTTATCGATTAAAAATTCATCATAATCGATTAAAAATTAATCATGAGTTGTGAAACTTTTTCTAATCTTTTTCTAATCTTTGGAAATAGAAAAAGACAAAGAGTAAGTTGAATCGAGATTAAAGTTAATTTATATTGGTAGAAACGGACCTTAGTTGTTTTCCCACAAGTTTCACACAAGTGATACTAAGTCTAAAGTTATGAGTATTTTGTACTTATATAATGATCACTATTTGTTTACTTTAGTGACAATGTTATCGCGTAACATAGGTTTATAATCTCTTTTATTTTTAATATGAATTAACGTTAAAGACACGGTAAAGCATACGATCGAGCTTGTGCAGATTGTATAAAAATTCAATTAAATCTTTATCTTTATTTCACTTATCAGAATGAAAAGGGACGTGCATTCAATTGACGTCACAAATGAGAATTATCCAAGTTTTAATATAAAAAGGAAACAACTACATTAATCCCTTGCGGCTTGAGGCTTACTACATCTATTGCAGGTCTGTTTCCTATTCCTGAATAGGAAACTGGTGCCACAAGTTGAAGTGAAATCAACGTAAATTTGTTTTAGAGAAGAATAAAAAAAAAAGACTGCGTTTCGGGGAGGGGGAGGGCATAAAACGGCGGGCAACAGGCAGGCGTATGGCCGGCACTGGCGGTGCGCCGGCGGTGCGAGTACTGCGCGTTGCGTGCCATCTTGGCGGTCCGTCCATATCGCGTTCGGTCGCGGCCGGCGTGCGATCCGTTTTGTTTTCCGTCGAAATCGGTGCGGCTAGTAACGCGCATCCGTCGAACTGCGCACGGACGATCCTGTGGCGATCAAGGTGCGAGACCCGGACGTCCATAGTACGTCACGTTGTATTCTCCACAGGTATGTACCGGAATTATTTCGGATAGGCCCGCGATTGGGTTAACGCGCCATTCCTCTCGGTCGACGAGAAAGAGAGAGAATACGCGCGCGCGCGCGCGTGTGTGTCGATTGGCCCGAGCGGCGCGCCAGAGAGGAACATTCGTTAATCATTCGAGTCGCGAAGGAAGCGATTGCGTTATTTTCCTGATAAGTTGAAGTCGGCCGCATCGTGTTGTAAGAAAAGAACGACGCGCGCGCGAAAGCAGACGACGATAACGGCGGAGCGACGACGGACGGCGCGGCAGTGGCGCGCGTGAAAGATGACGAGGATGAGATTATAAGCGTGTAACGTATTCCGGAGTAAAGTTTGGTAAGTCGTTTAGCATCGGTCACATGCGTCTCGTGCCGCGTTTTCTCGACTTTCCACGTGAGTTCCCGTAACGATAGATATTCCTGATTTCGACTCGTCCGAACATTCTTGGCCCGGCGCGAGCGAACTCGGAGCGAAGCGAAGCGCGCGATGCGCGATCCGGAGAGCCACGCACCGTCGTGTGCGTGCTCGCGCGCGCGCTTCGGACGTGATCGCCGACCGGATTTCATCACGTCAACGTCGTGTCGACGGCGACATGTATATTGACGCGTATATCGACACGATATTGGCAAAGTGTTGAGGTACCCAAAGAACACGCAAAAAGTCCAAAATCAAGACGTAAGATGTCTTAAAAAAAATTTTTTAGACGTATATGTAAGATTTTTGAAAAGTATCTTTAAGTCTGTTCTTTTTGGCTGAACTTTTGTACCAGTTCATCTTTCTTCCTTTTCTCTCCAGGAGGAAAGAAGAGGAAGAAAGATGAACTGGTGCAAAAGTTCAGTCAAAAAGAACAGTCCTTTTAAGACGTCTTGTATCTCATTTTGGAAACACGTGTTGTCTAGATATTACAATATAATATATGTATGTATAATCAAGAAGTATGCCCTCTATTTCCCCGTGGATTCGAGACTCGCGCTGGATCTTCGGATCTGTGGCCGGATATTCATGGTACTATAATTAATGGATTTCCAACTCACCTGCCTTTATGGGTTGGAAATCCATTGGGGGAAGGTAATTAAAGAAGAAGAAAGTTTGATCGAGCTGGAACATTGGCAGGAGATTGGCACTGAGAGCAGCTGAGAGAATCGCGCCGGCATTAATACATGACACCGAGGCAGACACGCAACTACAAAGCGCGATGGCGCGCGCGCGCGTGAGCACACAACGACACCGTTACGGTTTACGGCGCGGCGCGACGACGCGCCGCCGCAGCCGCCGCGGCGCGGCGGCTACCGACGTATTCACGCTGGTATTCGCACAGTCGTCGCGGCTGTGCGAGGTTCGTTGGAGGTTAGGGTGGCCATTTTTCTCGGCGCGTATTACCCCGGATTGTGCCTTCCGCGCCGCGCAACCTTCTTGATACTCGTCGTCCACTAATCGCGCGGATCGTGGAAAACTCGTCACCGCGTCACGTGGTGCGATTACACGCCCGCTTCTATCTCGTTCGCGTTTAACGCTCGAGGTGTTGTGGACCGAGACACACGGTGGTGCGCTCTTATTACACGCTTTTTGGCACGCAGGTAAGTACAGGCGCGTACTTCCCCCGGTGCGCGTGGAAAAAAGTCCCCGGGCTCGCTCGCGCTCTCTCTCTCTCTCTCTCTTTCTCGCTCGCTCGCGCTCTCTCTCTTACGCGCGCATGTGTCATCTCTTGGACGAGAAGATTCTCGTCCATCCCGGTGATCGGTTCCCTGATCGGCAATCAGGTGTGCGCGAATCGTCTCGCGTCCCGGCGAGGAGTCGAGGACAACCAGGGCGACGGCGACACGCGTTTACATGCCGGTGGATCCGTGTGGCCATTGTTTATAAGAATTGCCCGATCTCAGTCCGTTTCGGACGTTACGTACCAAGACGTACCGCCGAATCGAACGTTCGAGTCGTTTGCGATTGACGCGATAGGTTTAGGTACAGCAGCGTACCGTCGAGTTTCGCGCGACGGCGTTTTCACGAGCGCGACGAACAGGGGGAGGGGGATCTTCGACGCGTTTTTCCCGGTATCTCGCGTCTCCGAGTCCCGAGAGCGAGCGGTCGCGCGCGCGGAGGGTGTGAAACGCGCATCGCGCTCCGCAGTTCGATGTTCGATCCGCGCCGCGCCGGCGAGAGATTATCACGCGCGCGCGTGTCCTCGCGCTTCTCTTTTTCTTTTCTTTTCCCTCGGCGTTCGTCCACGGCAGAGCGCGGACGCGCGCGACGACAGGACGATTCGGCTTATTCGGCAGGCGCGATTGCGATTCAAAAACTTTTCTCGGAAGCGTGGAAACGACCGGCCGCTCCTTCACAAGGCGAGGAGATACCGGACGATCAGATCGGCGCGGCGCTACGCATTACTGTTGCCAAGTCTCTGAACATTATTCCCTACCTTGCGATTTTCTCAATATTTTAACTGTAACTGTTGGACCTTTTTTTTGCATTTTTCACTCCAAAAATCATACGGAAATTTTCCTAAACTTTTTGTATCCCAAAAAATCTCGATAAAAGGAATAAAATCTTCACATCTGCTAGCAATTTTACTAAATTCGCAACACTACACTATTGCGTATTTGTCAGTCTTAAGATATATCTGTATAAAGAAAATTATCCAATCACATTTTACGAGCGTTTTTATAGCAGAAATATGATTGGATAATTTTCTTTATTGCAGACGTTCATCTATGCAAGTTTGTGTGGATATATCCTTAGAGATGAGTCTGGATATTTTTAAAAAATATCGAAAGTGTTCGAAAATATTGGATGTATTTTGTTTTGCGCTTCCAGTGTTTGCAAGCGGATTTGTCTTTGTTATTATATTTGATAAACAATGAACCGATTATTGCGCGCCTTTCGGTTTTATCGAAATTTTACGCGTTAAGGAAGTCTAACAATCTGCGCATGCGATTGGGTAATCTCGCAACGCGTAAAATTTACTGAAAGGTGAAACAAACGGCCAATAAGGATAAACTGATACTTACAATGTGAAAACGAAGCGCGCTCATCAGGCTTGTTCTTTTTTGCTAAACTTTTGCACCAATTCATCTTTCTTCCTCTTCTTTCCTCCTGGAGAGAAAAGGAAGAAAGATAAACTGATGCAAAAGTTTAGCTGAAAAGAAAATAGGCCTACTATAATATACGTTAGATTAAAATCGAACACGCATTAAAGATTGAGATTAAATATTGAAATTTGACCAATGAGGACAAAGAAATTTTAACTCCTTTTATTTTGATTGGTCAAATTTTAATCTTTAATCTCAATCTTCAATGTGTAATCTGATTTTGGCATGTATATTATAGATTTGTCTATTTTTGTATACGATTTTTTCGAGAATGATGTCTGGGTACGAGCGATTTTTGAGAACGTGATGCTATAAATGCTTTGAAACATTTTTGGATTAGTCAGTAAATTTGTTTTTCTGATTTTATCAAATGCTTCAATGCATTTGTTAGTAAGACTTTAATTGCATCAAAATTCTACGATAAAATACTCTCTTAAGTGGTGTCTACAATAAGATGTTAAGGAGTAAATCTTATAGACTTTCTACAATAAGCTATAACCTAAACTTAAGCTGTAAGAAATTGGCCAATCACAGTCGAATGAAAATAATCGTTTATGATTGGTCAATTTCTTATGGCTTAAGACTTAAAGCTAAAGTTATGGCTTATTGTAGAAAGCCTATTAAGCTTTGAGTCTTAAGCCATAAGAAATTGCCCAATGTGAGAAGAATGGTCGGCTATGATTGGTCAGTTTCTTACGGCTTAAGACTTAAGTTTTATACTTGAAAATCTCATCGCAGACATCGCTTTACATACATTTGTAGTTTCTTATTCTCTAAATTCTTTGAAGTGGCATCTCACTCTGAAAGTGAAAATTGAGCCAATTTTGAAAAAGATATATAATCTCATTCTACTTGTAATAATCTTAATTAATATTGCACGGTGAAGTAGTATAAGTTTTAGTATATATACAGGGTGACAGTATAAATATATATCTATCTGTTTCATTATTTCTTTTTCTTCTCCATCTTGTTATTTTAAGGACTATACATTTATATATATATATATATATATATATAATACATTTGACTGGTGCTTGAGGGAACTTTCCCAGAGCACCAAATAAATAGCAATTCAATCAATCAGGATTTTGATAAAATCGCTCGTAGCCAGACTCTACGTTTTCAAGAGAGCAGACATAGTATGAACACAGTATCATTGCAGTCTTGTTTAACATTGGCAAACGACAAGAATGTAATGGACTCAGTGTAGCCATGATTCGTTGTACGCAAACAACGCTTGAGAACCAATAGCTGCATTCAGCAGAAAAAGCGGCTTTGTAACTGTTGTATATATTATAATTTTTTTATATGATTGGTCTTGCCCTTAGTTTCTCATTGGACTTAAATATAAGAGCCGGTTGTTCGATCTTTAGATAAAACAAAATGTGGTAATTTACTTATTAGATAAACAAAAGAGTAAAACGTAAGACAGTAAGAGAGTAAGACAATGAGCTGAAATTTACCGAAAGGTGGAACTCAGCCTACGTCATGTAACTTTTTCTCAGAGCAAAAACGTGAAATGAAAATATTTGTGTGTGTGTGTGTGTGTGTGTGTGTGTGTGTGCGTGCGCGCGCGCGTGTATATATATATATATATGTGTGTGTGTATAGCCGGTTAGAAAAGTTACAACTTTTTTTTGATGGATTTTGGAATGCAGCTTTCTTATCGTGAGTGATTGGTTCTTATAGATCTAACCATTCAACCGCTCTACAAGTAAGGCCGAGTTTCGAAATCCATAGGAAAAAAATGTATGTACAATCTTTTTGCGATCAGTTGTACATACATACATACATAAAAATTTTTATTTTTTACGTTTTCGCATTAGCGGAAAAGTTACACGATTGATCCCCCGAATACAGTTATTTCATCCTTGTTTACCAAATATATATTAAATAAAGGTAAATAATGCTAAATGTTGTGAGGGTAAATCGGATCGCGGCCCGCTTGATGTCCTTTACCGAAAAATGTCCTCTATTACATGAGTTTTTACGTCGTTCGGTTCATTCAGTTCGTCATCGTCGTCCATCGCCGCGGTCCAATCGAAGGGGTCGCTTCGGTATGAGAGACATTTGGCGCGTTTCATGATACGACGCCATAATTCGCGCGATCGACTGCCGCCTCCCTCGATCATTTACAGTCGCGTTTCGAGCTCCATCGCACCGTGACGTGTTTCTCCGAATTGTTCCTCCGCGTCTCGCTCCTTCTCGGACGGAGCGCACGTCACGTCGGTGCATTGTGTGCAGTCAGTACGAAGATCGGATTTATCGCGCGGGCACGCGGCGTTGGCGGTGGCGGCGGTGGCAGAGCGGCGATAGCGTGCGCGCCACGCCGGAGAGCGAGAGCTCGATAGAGCGCACCCGTCGGCACGACGGAGAGCGTGGGTGTGTGAAAGAGAGAGACGGAGAAAGGGCGAGAGTGTGGATCCGCGCGGTTCTCCCGCGACGAGAGATACGGGAAAGAAGCAGGACGGTAACGCGAAGATTTCGACGACATTTCCGTGTGACGGGACGGAAGGATCGTTTAACGAGGCGATATCAAAAGTAGTGGAGTCGTCGGGACCACGTCTGGGTCTCTGTGACGCAGAATTTAAATTTGGTATCGATGCGGTAAAGGTGTACGCGGCGCGGCGCGGCGCGGCGCGATACAGTACGGTGCGGTGCGTTGCACGGATAGGATCCACGGACCACCGGACCACAGATAGACGGACGGACGGACGGACGGACGGACGGAGCGCGCGGTCGTAGCGGCAGACCGGTGCGGTGCGGCGCGGCGGCGGCGGCGCACGCACACGCGGAGACGAGAGGATCGCGCGGAAACACGTCCGCGGTCCGCGGCGCGCGTAGATCATCATCGCGTGTCGCGCGAGCGCGCGCGCCTTGTTTCCAAAAGTATAACTCCGCATTTTGGTTTTCAAAGGTACCGGGACTTCCTGGTGAACATTATTAACCCTGGCAGCGATTACTGTGACCAACGTGGTCTCGTCGTCATCCTCGGCAACGAGAGGCAAGATCGTTCAGGAGCGGTTAACGCCGACCGGCGGCCGAATTGCCAAGGAGAGACGAGGAAGAGGAAGAGGAGATAAAGTGAGTCGCAGAGTCGCGCCCCGTGTATCGATACGAATGACGAAGATGCAGCAACACCCGGTGCAGGCGGCGCCGCGGATCACGCACGAGGACCACATACTGGAGGCGATCGATCAGCTACGTCGACGTAAAGCACGTCCTGATGCCGATCGCATTTGCAATTATTTGCTCCGTAATTACGCGGTGGACGCGCGCGACACGATCGCCGATCTTCATCGGCTGATCGAGGTGGAGAAGGTGATTCAGGTCGACTACAAGGGTAACACCAGTTACCGTAATGCTAAGAAGTGGACGCGGCTGCAACTCTTTAAGAATCGACCGGAAGGTTTCCTCAAGGAGAAACTCAACTCGGGCATGGTATCAAGTGCGGTCGCCGAGCTCGTGGTCGAGGAGCCCGATTACCTTGACCAGGGCGTCCCCGCCGGTCGTCTAATCGAGCAGCTACTCGACGGTGTCTCGAGCCCGACATCGCGCCGCGTGGTCGAGGAGTTTCTCGGCCGCGAGGTCGCGTGCGGCAATCTCGCGCGCCTGTCCAACGGCAATTACTCGCTGGTGGCGACGTCCGACATGACGACAGACGCGACACCGTCGCGACGCGGCGGCGACTCGCAGCCGTCCTCCTCCGCGGCGGTCGCCTGCGCCCTGGAGAACGGCAACGCGACGCAGCGGCGTGTCGGTAAGGAGGCTGCTGCTACCAACGGCACCCTCACCAATGGCACCAATGGTATAACGACAAAGGCAGCGACCAAGACAGCGGCGACAGCGGCAACGGCGGCTGAGCTCTACGAGTTCAACGAGACGGATAACCTTACCGACACTACATCTAACACATCACGATCTTCCTCGCGACAGGCCAACGATAGTCCGAAACTGGATCGGCAACTGCAGCAGCAGAATTCTATCAAGAAGAAGGAATGCTACGAGGTCAACGACAAGAAAAACGTCGAACGCGGCGATATCGCGTCCGTCGAGGTGGCATGCAACGGCGTCGTCGTCGATGGTGATAAACGGGAACGCAATTCTCTGGTGATAGCTACGCCAACGTCAACGACCATCGACAACAATATCATCAAGGACGAACCAAAGAGCAACGATGTCCAGAAGACTACGTCTAACCTTAAAAGATCCGCCAAGGCCGAGCGCAAGCAACGTCTGTTTGCCAGAACGGACGACCGTATGGACATCGAGATTAAATTTGAAGACTATCAACAGATCAAGGACGAACGAGAGAAACGCGAGGAAACCGGTCGACGATCCAGCGAAGATCGTGAGGATGAAGATGCTGGTAGGAGCTCATCGACAAATACATCCCCGACTCCGTCCAACGTAAATACTGGTGGATTTCGCAGCGCCAGAAGAAAGGTAGCGTAGACGTTCTGTGTGTTAATATAGTGTGGTGTTTGTGACAGATTGTAAATATTTTGAAAGGTGTCTGACACAAAAGATACAGTTGTGCTTTAATAGATTTTAACATAAAATAAAATACAATATTGTCTTGTAAAGTACTCACTTCTGGATGAGCTCAGATAGATACTTTTGTTTGTGTATTAACGAGAAAAATTGATTTATATAAAATGATATTTGAAGATTGAAGATATCATTAATTTTTAAGAAAATGAAAAATTATTATAATGTAGTTCTTTTGAAAGTAAATTTTTTTCTTTGGCGAATTATTCAAAATTGATATATCAATTCGTATTATTATTTTCATATTTTAGAGAGCTAGAAAAGTATTCGATCCTTCGGATAATAATCTGGTGAAGCGCAAACGAGGCAGACCAGGTCATAAAAATTCGTTGCTGCAAGATCAGGATCCTGCTAAAGTAATTGTCAAAGATGGACCATTTAGGCAGTGCAGTCTCTGTGCCAAAGAGAAACAAGAAGCTCTCGTGGCTTGCAGGGATTGCACAGTGCGAGGTAATTCTTGAATATAATTAAAATTAATATCGATTAATTTTTCTCAAACTTTTTATCAACATTTATATGTATTACATATTATATATACTTGCAGCACATCCGAGTTGTATTTATAGTCCAGAGGAAATGCTACAAAAAGCTAATAGCAATTGGCAATGCGAGCGCTGTAAAACCTGCACAGTATGTTGCGAGACTTCTGATGCTGTAAGTTTATTACATTCCATTTTATTTCATGTAACGTTCATGATTTTTTTTACTCTTATTCTAATAACTGTTTTGTTTTATTTAGGGTCCGTTAGCGACTTGTTACAACTGCGATGACGCCTATCATTATTTTTGTCATCCGTCCCGTGTTACGATAAAATCGAACACTAAATGGTATTGCAATGAGTGCACGCAAAAACAGCAGAGCAAAATAAAAATAGATGATAATCAAAACACTCATTCGATCAACGGAACAAGCAGACCGGACAGTCCGTCAAGCACTACCATCTTACCGCCGGTTCTAAGTCCGCAGGTTTCTCCTATGAGAGGTTCTGCCGATCAGATGGAAGAAGGCGGTCCCAAAGGACCCATCGATTTAAATATTCCTGATGCGAGAAATTGGACCTCCGAACAAGTATACCAATACTTTGCTAGGCTATTTCCCAAGGATGCTGAAGTCTTCCGGCAGCAGGTAAAATTTAATTAATTTATTAGATAGACAACGTATTCTTTGCATAATTGTTCCGATATACCATGTTTGTTCTCATTTACGTTCCAGGAAATAGATGGCCACGCGCTTCTAATGATGAGTCGAAAGGACGTTGTGTGTGGACTTAATTTGCTATTAGGTCCTGCCTTGAAAATATATCGACATGTTTTGAAGCTTCAGTTTCGCAGAGACGATCCTGAATTGTATTGGCAATAATACTTATGAATTTTGCTTGAAATTGATCTCTATTATATCGTACGTATTTTAATCTATAAGATTTAATTTATACTTCATAAATTAAATCTTTTAAATTATAATTGTACACAATTTTAATTTGTGATTTCCACATTGTATATATGATGTACATCGCTAAAACCTTTCTTATGAATAAGAATATCTTAAAGATATGTGCTCCTTAATAACAACAATAACAATATTCTACTGAATATTCGAGACTGAATATCGTAGACTTTGTTTACTGTTAAATCCCTCCTGGGTTAGATCAGCATTGTTTGAAAAAGCGCGGAAATTCTCAAACTCTATTAGCAATAATATAGATGTCTTGCATACATTTAATCTTAGCAATTATGCATGATTTTTCCATAAATTATGAATCTAATTCAGTTTTAAGGCACGCTCCATATTGTACAGACATATATGAGACATATTGCTAAGGTCTCCTGCGAACAATTTATCGCAAGCCAAACCGATATCGATCTGTAAATGTATGTGCACGTTGCGATTATATATACTTAATGTACATTCCGCCTTTTTCATGTGCGGTATTTTGTAAAAAGGAGCAGATATTTTCTATTTACTGTTACTTGTTAACATTAAATTTAAACTTATATCATGAACTCTACACGCAATTTGTTCTAACAAGATAAACAATTGGGCATGTTAAACAGAAAAGAGAATCATCGACTGATTGTGCGCGATTTTGCGTCACGTAAACTTATATTTTATTTTCACAAATTTTACATACATAAATAATACATTTATTTGTAGAATCTAATTGTATAAGAGACTACTAGTTGAAGAACACAATACTTTGGTTTTACATGTACTTTTCTATTATGCAATAAACATTTTGATATTTATACATACACTGTAATAACATCCTCCAGAGACTAATTGCAAGACTTCCAGATATGCATAGACATATATCAGTATATCGGTAACAATGAGATTTAATTTAAACAGTATAAGTCTTATAAACAGGAACTTGTACATTTATACATATATATATATTCCTAAACTACGTATAAATTTCATTTGATATTTTCGAGACATCGCGATGTTAAAATCAATTGTTACATAAAGAATTTGAATATATTTTTACACAAAACATGTGTTGATGTTCTTAAATGAAAAAATAAAAGCTTATATTGTTCCGTGTGCGAATAAAACGTAAAATTCTTGATCTTCAAGAATAAATACGAGTTATGATGAAAGGCTTTTATAAATAATGAAATGACACAGATGTAACGTGTATCAATATCGTAATATTACTATCGTTTATATCTCTTTGAATAAAGAATAATAAGAATTTTTTTAATCACATTGCACGCGCGCAATTAAAATTGAGATTAAGTGTTATATATATATATATATATAATTAAATATATAATATATACACGTTACAAATAAATTCTAATTAATATGTACACAGATGATTTATAAAAATCTCGAAAAGATATACATAAAATACACGTACATGTATATGTGTATGATGATATATTTATGTATATATTGTAAAGTTAATGGAATTCTCGTAGATTTTATTTAATATTTCGGTCGCACCGATGCTACATAATGAATGTGTCAAGCGTCAAAACGTATCATGTCGGATAAAATGCAAATTAATGCAATTCTAATCTATCTAGCAAGAGTGCGAAATTGACAAAAATCTTCGTATGAAGAAATTTCAGTTCTTTTTTTTATAGAGAAAGATATGTGACATAAATCTTTGTATAATATAAAATATGTATATATACAATATATAATACAATATTCTTTTATAAATAGATTTAAATATAATATTGCACAAATCCTTTTCAGTAATTTTATATATTGTACTATTTATCGACTTTCAATGACAGTTTCTCACAAAATAATAAGAGCAATCAAATCAAATGACATATTTTGATTAAGTACCTATATTGTCATTAGTTTTACGTCTACTTCTACAAATTTGAACTTGTTCGTTGTATGTTAATTTATATCGATTTAAATATATACATATACAAATTATGCAATTGCATTCAGAAAAGACGTAAAAGCTTCATAATTTTTTATATTAAAAATATTTTTCTTGATATATATATATATATATATATATATATATACTTCGAAACCTAATATAGCTCAGTCTGTAATATAATTATCAACATAAAAATTTCCGAAAAATTCGATATTTTATAAAATACAGTTTGATTTGAAAATTATATATTGCTGAATGAGCTTGTTTTTGCTTCGTTACTATTTTATGATTATTACTTCATATTAGATTTTATTAAACATTCTAAATATACATGTGAAATATTATTATTTAATAAAAGGATTAATTTAATTTTGTTAGCACTTACTGTAAATGCAATTTAAATTTTTAAAACGCGATTGAAAATAAAGAGATGTTACAATAATTAACATTTGTATATCATTGCACTATTCCATTATGCTAAGGCTTTTAAAACGTGATACAATCATATCCCGCATCAAGTAGAAATGTGATTTAGATGGAACGATTGCATAATTCATCATGACGTTTAGGTGGAGATATTTTGTACATCATGACTTCATTTGGCATGAATAATATAATATCCTTCGAAAAATTAATATTTTTATAAAATTTATATTTATATAACGTCTGTACTTTCTTATAATATGACAATATTGCAACCCCTATTATGGCGACGAAAGGACAAGCTGAAGCAATTATAATATAGTTAAAACACAGATACTCAACGAAAGAGAATTTCATTACCCGTTGAAACGTTTTAGATTTAGATGTAGATGCCGGTTGTTTACTTTCTCCAGAACAATCAGAGACTTGAGTGTAATCCACGGTCTACGATTTTATCAGAGCATTTTACATTTATATCAAATGTATTGTATATTCCCAGTAAACACCAACTCTCTTTCTAACAATAACATACAATATCAATATTTACTTAACAATATAATTGGTATGTATAACATATGTTATTCATTTATATTGTTGAATAAATAATTATAATATTGATGTAATATTACTGTTAGTGTTTTTACCAAGTTGTCGCTCACTGGCATTAATATTAATTGTAGAAAATGTTACCCTGGTGTCCATTGGTATGGTTTTAACATGGGTCTGTGGCAATTTGAAGCCATTAGCATCCCACCATCTAGGAAGTAATTCCTTGCGTAATCCAGGATCAGTTAATATATCATTTTCCGGTATGTCGGGCGGCGTAGGTAAAATGTCTACACTTTTTTCCATACATGTGGCGATAGTGAACAGAGGTAACAGATCTGAAATTCGTTGCTTGGCCATGAAATTACAGCCAATATTGCAGATACAGCGATCATTCGGATTTATGTAAGCCTCGGAACACGCTGTCACAAATGACACAAAAGCAATTTTACTATGCAAAAGACGTAAAATTACATTCAATTACAAGCTCAACAAAAAATAATATGGAAGCAACTTTATAGAAAGAAAGAATATAAATTCTTCTAAATATATAAATGTAATAAAATTGTGTTTTACTGTGTTAACAAATATCTCTGAAAATTGCTAAACCAAATCCTTTTATATTCTTAAAAAATAAAACATAGTTACAGATGTCACATACAAGTCTCGCAGGCGTTCCTAGTGCCATTCAAACGATCTTCCTCCCATTTATAACGCGAGTCGATTAGATTGAAAAACCTGCAACCTCGTTGACAGCAGGACTTTATGTAGCTGCTCTAAAACGAAATAATTGATTATACAAATAAATATAAGACACAAAAATAAACAAATATACATATAAAATTCAGCATTACACACAGTTAACACATACATTTGGAAAACCAGTAAGTGTGTTCTCGCATAGATTGCAGGGATCCTTAAGATTTAATATATCAGACACTACAGCAATGTCTCGGTTATTAACTACATCTCCGAGGGTTAGTTCTGTGACGAGTAGCACGAGTGACGCAAAGATTTCCATGTTCCCTGTCATCTTTAGAGATGTTTCGAGTTTCTCTTTTCCTTATTTTCTGCTTCTTTCTGTCTCTCTCAAAAACATAAATGTTTTGGTTTGTGGAATTGATGGAATTCTGCACCCTTGTTAACGTTTACCCTCACCACCGATGCCATGATCGATGCTGTGTTAATGGTTACATCAGGGTCGAGACGATCCACCAAACTCGCGGAGGCAACAGCGATAGCTTCGAATTGACAAATAGACGATCATTTAGATTTTTACCCTAATGAGGAGTGCAGTGCGATACAATTAATTTATTTATCTTAGTCATTTGGAATTTCCATTTTTGATTCTTGTATTCATCAAATAATGCTTTTCGAAAATCTCTTGTAAAATCTTGCCAAGATAACAGATTAAAAATCTGATTTCTCTTACGCTAAATTCTAAAATACTACGAATCTCGAACCGACTGTAGCCTCATATCACTAGATTATGTATTTTAATAATAGATCTAAACGAAAAAGAAGCAAAAATCAAGAAAATAAACAATAAGTAATATGTAACGTATGTATGTAAAATGTATAAAATATACAAAAATTTTTAGAAAATTTTGTATGGATTAATGTATGGACTAATGAACCTCATTTTACTATCAACAGATACTTTACTGAAACCGCACTTGGCACGCATGCGTGAGAAAACCGGTCCATTTAACAACTGGAGGTTGGGGGTGCGTTCGAAGAGTATCTTGAATATGCTGTCAGCATTGGTTGTGTTCTGTAAAATGCATGATATGCATGATATCATTTTATCCTTATTATTATTCGCCAATTTTTAAACAATATACAGGATAACATGATACATCATGTGCTTTACGGAACCCATCAGGATCCTTATTCTTGAAAAGAAACGTATACGAAAAACTAGGGAAATACTATAATGTACGTATACTATAATATATCCTTAGTCTCAATAGGGACTCAGGGAGCTATTCAATCATTCTACCTATGAGTATGCAATCCAATACTTAACGCTTCGAAGCATTCTTTAATTAGTAAAATTTCTTTCTTCTGGTTAACAAAACATTTACAGCATTAAGTAGACATTTCTTTATTATTAAATATAAAACAAAGATAGAATCCCAGACTTTAAAAAGAATGCAGTTGTATATGTCATCAATTGTGAATTTATTTTTAGATGCGAGAATTCTTTTTCTAAAAAGTTCTGAAAAAAATTCTTTTTACATCAGAAAATGAATTCAGAACATACGAATCTTTTTGAATTCTCTGTGCTATCTGAGATGACACAATAATGAGAAAATGACGATTCTCGAAATTTTGAACTGCGATATTGCGATTCTTGAACTGCCCACTTTCAGTTAATTACAGGACGTATAACAATAAAGTATTAACCAAAGTATCTTTCATTATTGTATTAAACAAAGTATCTTTTAAGACTGTAAATATCCAACAAATAAGGAACAAAGATCCTAAACAATCAACCTGGATTTTTAATGCTTAAATAATTCGGTGCGAATTCATATATTCATATTCAATCCTGCAAACCGCGTGTCGAATTTAATTTCATCAGTCTTTGAAACACAATCCTAACAAAATTAGAGTAGCAGTATCACAAATTAAATTGACAAGCAATTTAATAATATTGTGATGCTCATAAGCATCTTAGAAAGATCTTAATTAATTTAATGCTGATAAGCATCATCATATTGCTCCCCGGTAAAAAACTTGTCATACATTAATATGTATAAATATGTACATAAACATACATAAATATTCATAAATACATATAATTATATAATACGAAATATGCCCACATATATTCATACATCTCTCTCTTTCTTTTGTAAAATTATTTTTTAGTGTAATAAAAATAACAATAGTAATGTGAAAATATAAAAAAATAATTAAAGGGA